AAGCAAGCTACGCCCCTGGCCGGGTCGTGTTATATTATTTATGTGGCCTTTCCATCCTGCATTAAACCCAGCCGCATCTTTTTGACGGCGATGCGCAGTGAACACACGCCGAATCTTTCAGGCCACCCATTTGCAGCACGCGCAAAGACAAGCCCTTAGAGCAATAAAAATAACATGTTGAAGAAGCGAAAACGAGATGTAATTTGGTACAAGAAGAAAATGTATTTCCATGCTTAACTTTCCAACGTCTACACTGTTCCCACAGGTCTGTGTGTATTGTGTTGGCGTGCGCTGTGTGGGGAGTGGTGGCGCAGTGGCGACCCCGCTCTGTGCCACGAACCCAGCGACCAGAGTTCAAATTCCCGCTCACGACCAATAAAAGTGACGAATAACTGAATAGGTCTCGGGTCTCCTCTAGCTCGACTCAGCCTCAAATGAGTACCACGCGGAGTGTGTAAAACATCAGCACTGGGGAGACATATGTGGCCAGGCTTGATGCTGGCCATCCACCACCTCTCGTGTGCCATTCTGACCTTCATTAGGCGATCGCCAACAGCACTTGTCCCAACAGTCTGTTAAAACTATACGGAGGAAACGTGTTTCTTTTTAAATCCTTTATATTAAGTTCACTTGCTTGCTTGCGCGCTTACGACCGTGCAAATCTTTCGGTCGTTTTCTAACCCACTTCCCGTGATCCAATCGACCTGACATTTTCCACACAGACTCGTTGTGCGTGACAATTAATTTTCGTGAAAAATGTTTTCCTAAATTTTACACTTTTTAGGAAAAAAATTATATTTAATTACTAATTGCTTAATGGTGCCAGGCAATCATCTGACCCATAGGTGGCAGCCATCTCAAGCCAGAGGATGAGAGGACTCAAGCCGCCACGCATATAAAGGATTTATAGTGAAAAACTTTGTTTTTACGGGTACATTTTTTCTCCTCTATGAGTGAGCAGCGGCGTAGGGCTTTGCACACTGCTCTCTGAACCCCGCAACCCGGGTTCAATTTCCTGCTGTGGAGAACACAAGTGGGCAGATGGTGCGAGGATCTGTTCTGAGCCCACCTGGGGTGAACTCGGGATTAAACGAACGGGTCGTGTAAACGTACAGCCAGTCAGTGCGGGAGAGATGAAGGCAGCCAGGCAGCCAGGTGTGGTTCGGGCCCTATAACAGGTGCTCGCTTACAGAACTTGTCCCTACAGTCTGTATTACATGACAAAGAAGAAGATGACAAAGGGTCTTTGTCTTCATGTTTGCATGTGTGCGTGTAAATATAAAACCGAGCTACGGACTTTTGCAGTCCATACCTCAAATCACTGGAAAAAAATTCCGTCCATCACACCCAAGAAAATTTAAAACAGGCTCAAGGCCATTACATTTTTTCTATAAACTAACATAGTCAAAGATCCCCCGTATAGGCTTAACAGACTGTTGGGGAAAGTGCTGTTAGCGAGCACCTATGAAGGCCGGAACGGCACACGAGGGGCTGGGCGACCAGCACCATGCCCGGCCACCTTTGTCTCCCCAGTGGCGATGTTTGTACACCCCAACAAGCACTCATTTGAGGCCGAGTCAACTTAGGGGAGGCCCAGGACCGGTTCAGATATTCGTCACCGACGTTGGGCGCTACACAAACACACGCAAGCACAAAATGCTGGGACCGAAAATATAATACCCCACTTATGCCGACAAACCCGGAAACGATTTAAACAAAAGCGGCCGCTCCGGCAAACTACAGAGCGGCTTTTAAAGGGCGGCAAGGCGCCGGAGTGGAGGCGATCGCCGCTTTCATGCGCGGCGCATCGAGCGCCGGCTACCCCGGCGAGGTTTGGGGCCGTGATTTTCGCGCTCGTCACCCGAGCCATCGGCTCTGTCGGTGTGGCCGGGCGTGACCCCGCCGGGATGTTAAACATCACACAGGGTCCAGGCCGGGGGAGGGGTCGGGGCTGGAGGGGGTGGGGGGAGCTTCGCACACACACGCGCCCACCTGCTGCCTAGCTAGACGAAGCACCTGCAAAGTGAGACATTATAACTCTCGATCATCCGTGCGTGGATTATCGTGCTTATGAAGTATATATATAAAAAGGCAAGAACAAAATATCTGCCATATAACCTTTCTGCTTGCAATCAAATGTGTTTAAAAATGGTTATTAATTAATAAAGGTATGGTATGCATACTAAGCCAAATATGTAATATTTATTTTTGGGTTACAGGAAATCGTTCTCCCTCTGGTCATGCCTCCTTTGCAATGTACTCCATGGTGTTCCTAGCTGTGAGATCCACACACATGCACGCACACACACTTAGCCTGCAACAGGCTGTCTGGGCAAGTGCTGTTAGCGGGCACCTATGAAGGCCGCAAACCTATGACCGCCAGGGTGGCTAGCACCATGCCGGCCGCCTTTGTCTCCCGAGCGCCGATGTTCACACATCGTTCCAGGTACTCATTTGAGGCCTAGTCGACGTCGGGAAGGCCCAGGACCTGTTCAGATAATCTTAACCGATGTTGGTCGCAAGCGGGAATATAACTCGTGCCACCGGGTTCGTAGCGCAGCGTGTTAACCACTGCACCACCGCTCCGCCATATATATGTATATATACATACAGTAGAGATCTTTACGTTAGTTTAGCTCTTATTTCTTTCTCACTCGTCGGGAGGTCAGTGACTAAAACACGTCTGGCAAGTAAAACGAGTGACTTGTGAGATGCAATAAAAATAGACGATGACACACACATTCGACATCTTCGCCCACGCTCTACTTAGTGTAACAATTAAACACGTTTATATGCAGCCTAAGTGTACACGTGTGGTGAATTAACCGTTTTTTGTTTCATCCCAGACTGGGTTCACCCCTTCCTCCCATTTCTAAGCCTTGGGGGAACGGGGACGAATAACGTCCATGGTGCTACGATACCCTGGGTTGCTCGTCAGTCGAGGCAGAAATAAGAGAAGGGAGTCGTTCAATGGGGGGAGCGGGAGGGAGTGGGGTGAGGGCGGCGGTGAGGGGGGGGGCGAGCGTTAAGGCTGCGGGGAAGGCAGCGTGCTTGGGCAGGTTCAAGTGGGTCCGCCGCATCTCTCCGCCTGAGCGTCAAAACGTCGCTCGTGTGAAAAAGTTTGCGATGTTCGGCGGGGCTTGATGTGCTGCGGCGATACGGGGAACGACGCGACGCGTTCATCGCGAATGCGCCGTCGTGCTCGGAGAGGAAGAGATAGCGAACACGTCATGGCGAGTTTATTTTTCAGATAGCGGGGGAGACTGCTAGTTTCAGATTAGGCAAAAATTTACGTTTGGAGAGAAAAGAAAATCTGTCAGAGGTGCCAGACTCTACATTGCATGTGTACGAGTTGAGTACTTGTCACTCCACTGCTGGATGAAGGCCTCCACGCACACCTTGTCAGGCATGGAGGTTGTTTGACCATACTTCACCATGCTGGTCCGTGCCGGTTAGAGGAGGAGAGGAGGCCATGATTGGGTCCAACTCTACAAGCACCGGATTTTAGCCTCGACTGGGAATAGAATTCAGGTTTCTTAATTCATAGTGCAGTGTGCTAAACACTGCACCACTGACCCACCCTTGTTAGACAAGCTGCACTAATTAATAATAAACGTTTTTGGGTTAGATCGCGTGTGTGTGGTAACCCTCCACCATCCAACACAGCAAGTAAGGTTTGTCACGTAAACAATGCACCAATTAGTTACTAATTTAGCCCACCGGTGTGTTGGAGAGTAAATCCACAAGATTCACAATTTGAATACGACGTTTCGCTGCACTTGAGCAAACACTGTTGTGGGGAATAAGTCGTTCGTGGGAAATCTTTGACCATATTTCACCACACTGCCAGTGCGGGGTTGGTAACGATAAGGAGACTAAACAAGGCAGCATGGAAGCACACTTCAATAATTAATTTTGACACCGACTACCGGAGGGGGATGATCGGCTGCGAGTTAATTCCTCAACTGGCAATCGAGCGTCGCACAACCCTTAAAGAGTTATGAGCCACACACTGTAACCGCGGAGATCGTAAATTCCTGTTTTCAAAAGAGTCGAGTGGAGGAGGAAGAAGAGATGGGACTGGCAAAATAGGAAAGGTGTACGGGCAACAGGAAATCATTGTAGGGTGGGCCGAGGGCTATTAAACCGAGAGGCGGCGGGGGCAGCAGGGGCAGCAGGGGGGAGGAGTACAGGCGGCGTAAATAACTCGTGGGTGTCAACACGTCTGTCACATTAATGTGATGAGAACGGGGCAAGGTCTGGGGTCGTTAAGCCACCGGCACAGTGACGCGTAAACAACGAGAAAACACGACGAGTCTCTTTGAATTTCACTCGCCTCACGCCTATAAATGTACCACTCGTCTCGCATGGCAGTACTAATGAGGGCTTAATACTGCTTGGATCCGGATGTCCAACAAGATCGAGTGCATTCAGGGTGACTTTATGAAAGGTAGTAACCGACTTGTCATCTTGGCATGATGCCGAACAACTGATCGATCGAGTGACCGAACAATGGACCAACTTAAATGGACACGTTGAAGATAAAGATACCAAATATTATTTATCGGAGGATCAACCAGGACACATGGTGAGCCGACAGCACCCCCCTCCCCGCTTTCACCGTCAGCTCCCACCCACTTTTACAAAGCCACGCCCGCTCAACCCCGAGCCCCGCACACACACCAGGAGCGGACACACTCCGGATGTTCGGCTCAGCCTACTGCGCGTCGGCCCTGCCTACTCCTCTGGCAGCTCCGCCCACTGCTCAGAGTAGCTCCGCCTTTTGCGTGCATTGCGAGTCGAGCACGAAACCAGAAGATTTTAAACCACAGACAAAGGCCACGGTTTTTTTTGTTCAAATTCTTTGGTGGTGGGGGGGAATGAGTGGACACACCGGGGACAGACTTTCTTGAAATCCGCCGCTACTGTCACCGGCCAAACCAGGACGTTTGGTAGCTTCAACCGAACGGGGTAAAACTCACTTTCCGCGGGGCACTCACCATTCTTACTGATGTCCAGCTCGTGGAGGTTGACCAGGTTGGCGATGGACAGCGGAAGGATGGAGATGTCGTTGTCGGAGATGCTCAGCTTGTGCAGCAGGACGCAGCTGAACAGTTGCTGCGACGAGAGTGGACAACGACATTCGGGAAAAGAAGTTGGTGTTGAATAAAAACACTCGGCGAGTCACTCCACCTACACGCCAAGCGAGGACTAGGCCACTTCACAATTAGCGCCCCCTTGTTACGTTAAGTGACTTTGTTTAACCAGCTGATAACTCGGAGACCAGGATGAGGTCTTATTTGCAAGCGTGATCCGGGGGGAGTCAACAAAATGACAAAATAAAAACAGTAAAAGCATAGCCACGACGCAAACAGAAACCGAAAGGAAAACAAAAAAGCGACCACGTCGTGTGAGAAATAAAAAAACACAGCACGAGCACAAAATCGGTTGCGATGACATGTCGTGCCCACAGCTCCGAGTTGGCGATCAAACAACGAGTTGTCCGTTTCATTACATGTGCGTGCGTTACAACATACTGTATCATTCTTAAATTATTATTGTAAAATCGCCGTTGTCGTTCAAGAATAATGCTACACTGGCTGCGAATGGGTTCATGTGAACAATCGCATTTCACAAATGCAATTCTTAAGGTAAATGAACCTTCACGCAAATGTTACGACGCATCTCGAGGAATCGATCCGTAGCAGCAGCGGCCAAGTGACCAACGGGATAAACCGCTCCCCTTTCTGTGGGGCAGCAGCGGGTTCGTTCCCCATCTTTCTAGCCCCCCCTGCTTTTCATAACCGGTTCAGTTTGTGTCGACGGTGTGTACGTGCGTCACAACGCGATATATTGGGCCCACGCATTGCCTCGATTAAAAACAACTCTCTATGGGTCGACAATTATCGTTGGTTTCTCATCAAGTTGTAAAGCCATGGTTTGTACCATATGGTGCTGCTCGTTTTACCAACACCAAAGGAACAATAACCATGAAGTTATGGATGATGATCACAGGGATGAGAATAAGTACTTCGATTATAAGCAAAAGAATGACAATGATGATCATCATCACAGGGCTGAAAATGAAGATCTTGTTGTTGAGCGAGTTAATAATGTCGAGCATACTGAAGAGGCTAGAGATGATGAAAATGCGAAAAATTCCAGACTCCCATGTCAACAATCATCATTTCAGGAGTTCAACCACTGAAATTGTTATATTTTCACAATAGGGGGCTAAGTTACTGTGTGTGGTCCCAACCTAGTAAATTTTAAGGTAATGTTCAGCATTGGGATGATTGGCCAATACCAGTAACACTGCATTTTTTAAATCTGTAAAAAGCAACATGGATAACCAAAAGAAAACCCCAACAAAGCAGCGAGAGAGAACATACACACGCCACGCAGAAAGGCGCCCGGATCCTGCTGCGAGGCACAAATAATAATTGGTTTTACCCTTTCTGGCAATAAAACAGGTATTAAGAAATCCCAGTCACTTCGTACGAAGCAGCGTCGCATTATCGGCACGTGAACCGTGCCCCCCCCCCCCCCGTCGCCCCCACCACTTCCCACCACCCTCTCAATTCGGCATTATCCCTGCAGCTCGCATCTCTCCGCCATCACCTTGGGGAGGTCCTCCAGCTGGTTGGCGTCCAGGTAGAGCTCCTCCAGGGTCCTCTCGAACAGGAAGACGTCCTTGGGCACCTGCTGCAGGCAGCAGTGCGAGTAGTCGATGGTGGAGATGGTCTCTTCCTCCCCGCGCAGGCACCGGCAACGCACCAGCCGGCGCAGCAGCTTGCTCTTACGGCTCATGATGTCGGGGGGGGCTGTTGGCTCGCGAGCGCTGTTGTGAAACACAAAGACAAAGGACCCCCCCCCCTTGTTAGCCTGAACAGACGATTGGGGAAAGTGCTGTTAACGAGCGCCTTATGAAAGTGCTTGCTAAGGGGAGCGGGTAGTGTAGCGCTTGGCGCGCTGCGCTGCGCTACGAACCCGTAGATTCAAATTCGATTCGCGCTCACGACCAACACCGGTGACGATTATCTGAACCGGTCCTGGACCCCGCCAGGTCGACTCGGCCTAAAATGAGTACCTGGTGCGGCATGCAAACATCGTCATTGGGGAGACAAAGGCGACCGGGCATGGTTCTGGCCACCCACCCTCTCATGTGCCATGCTGGCCTTCATAGGTTACGCGCACACACACCAAGACTAAGACCCCCACCCCCCCACCATGAAGCCTACGTAGACTGTTGGGGCAAGTGCCGTCAGCACAAAGGAGCGCTGTGGCCAGCAACAGCACGCCTGGCCAAATTGGCTTTGACGCGCTGACGGTACTACGTACGTACACACGCGTGTACACGACTAACATGCCGCGCTTACTCTGCAACCGCTCAGAGAGCGCGAACATCGCCCGCTAAAGCACCCGTCCACCCACTCCTACCTTCCACACACTCTCATCGCCAGCAGCATCTTCCGTTAGATGTCCGTCGCTTGAAAAACTTCGAAGCGCTATAATTATTCTTCTTTGCTCGTCGGCCTCCCTCGCTCTACTCTGCCCGCCCACGATCGCGCAGTCGTCCAGCGGACGCGACGCGCTCGTGCGGACGATGAAAAACGCGGAGCGGCCACCGTCCGGCTAAGCTCCGAGAGATTCCACGGCGGTGGCGTCAGCGAGATGAAGCCGTTGCAAAAAAAACAACAATGACGGAGAACGGCGCGGCAGAGCAGCCCTTTTGTGTTTGTCTAAACCGCATCAGCTCTTCCGTCATCCCTTCCCTGCACCCCCCACCCACATCACCCTATAACCCCCCCCCCCTCCAACACCGGGAACTGGCGGGAGTTGCAGCGTGGTCGTGCCACGGGAACAACGATGAAAATCTGCAGAAAAGTGCAGCTCGCTCTGACGAAATCTGTGCCCTTCCCTTGAAAAATGAGGTCACCGAATTCTCACACGCGTCAACTTTGGAACATAGATTTGATGCGCGGACTGTGCGCCGAAGGATCCGGCGAATCGATGCAATGTTTTGACAACTCTCGCGACTTGGCTCATCGTCAACGTAACCATCCAGGGTTCTATCCACCGCTGGATGCAAACGCGTGTTGCACTCGCATGCCAAACTCGCACACGACATTCCCCACCGCCACCAACGTGTCAGTAATTCCCCGGTGGGGAACGACACAAGATAAAAAAAAGGACTGCCGAGCTGAATTGCATCAGTGGCAATGACTCACAGCCTGTCGGTAGGATTGCTGCATTTACAATGCAAATTGCAGAATGGATTGAGGCAGCTATGGCTAATTAAGACACCCACGCGACTCATCCTTGCAACAGCCACTCCAAGACCCCACGGGGAGATGGTGGTGCCTCTATATTGTTTACTCTCCGTCGCATTCAACCAAACTACTTATGCCCAGTATGAAAAATAATAATTGGTCTTACCCTTTCTGGAAATAAAACAGGTATTAAGATGTTCAAACACCAAATATATCGCTTCTGCACGCCAAGTGTGTATTAACCACACGTACATGTGATGAACATGCAAGCAAACGTGCTCTGATAATATATGCGCCGTCTTTGAAACTGACTGCGGTACACCAGAGACAGCCCTCTTCATGGCCTAGTCTCATCGGTGTCAGACCAGAGAACGCCAACAGGCGAACACAGTTCAAAGACAAGGCCACACGTATCAGAGCATTTATAGTTTGGGGTGAGCGGGGTATATCATGGGATACTTTTTTTACTTTTCATTCTTTGATAATGGAAAAAAGGTCCCATAAGACTTCTGCCCGGTGGCACCCTTCGCTATAATTGGCAGCACCCTTTCCGGCGAAAGAGTCATCATCAGACTCGAGCGAGGCTTTCCACGGTATACATTGAGTCATAATCATTTGAGAAATACGTGCACGATACGTGACCTTGTACGTGTTTATCTGTAGCGTCTGTACGTGATACGTGGCCTTGTACGCGTTATCTATAGCGTCTGGACGCGACAGCATTTTGCGACCCTGTACCGAAATACCAGTGGGAATAGTTACTTGAAAGACGCATCACATCCGCGTTATTGGGCTCGTTAAGATCGGACCAAGTTCGCATTAATTGATTCTTATACACCGTATTCTAAGCATGTACCGTGAGCGAAATAATCAATTTTAATTGGTAATGTTACAATACGTGGACATATGCAGCAATTACATGCAGCCACATCTCAAGTAGCTGTACAGAAATGCCGGCGGACATTTATTTTCGAGAGAGAAAGAGGCAGTCAGTCATTGGCAGAGCGAAGGTCTTAAGCCCGGACTTGAAGGGCATGGAGTTAAGAGCACGATGTTCAGATGATCGGGGCAGCAGAGCAGAATAAGCGACTTCCCTTTTGAGTGAAGCTTGACTGGGGGTTTCAACAGAAAGGCTTTGGCTGCTGCAGTACAGAGTACTTGGAAGGTATGAGAGTGCGTGGAGGGGAGTAGAGCGGGATCAGAGGGGTAGCAAAGTGCGTGGAGGGGAGTAGAGTGTGATGAGAGGGGAGAGGTAGGAAGGTGCAACGAGAAAAGGGATGAGAGGGGAGAGGTAAGAGAGTGCACGCGGGGGAGTAGAGTGATATTCACTCGATAATCAAAAACAGCGTCTGTGTTTTGATTATTGTCTCCCCGACAGACCTGGTCTTCACCTGAGGACGGCTGCTTGGGTTGTGGCCGAAACGTCGTGAGAATTATTTTATTATGTTTTATTTTTATTATTTTATTACTTCCCTTCTACGTGACTTTACCGAAAGAACCAAGAAGATGAATCCCTGCAGTCACGAAAGCTTTAAATCGAAATCAAAACCCAGTTTCCCTGTGAACCATCCACCACCCGTCTGCTGCCAACCCCATTTGTCCCCACCAAATATACACGGAGGCCTCATTTGACCACCGCCACCGTCCACCGCGTCAGCGTTACTCACTCATTTTATTTTGCTCAATGAATGCACGAGCGTGGTGGCATCGGGGATCGGATGAATGGCTCGCAGTGAATGAATGAGCGCCGGGCCGGCGATGGGATGTGACAAGCAGTCGCGCGTTCCACGCGGATATTTTAATGCTCGCAGCTGCTGTGCAGAGAGCCTCATCCTGCCCCCACCACCACCACCCCCCCCCCCCCCCAGGACCCCAAACGCAAGTGGCAGAATTTTTTCGGTAGCATTCGCAAGAGTCACTCCTGTTGTCTGGTCAATCCGATAAATTATTTGACATTGCTGCTGCCACTTCGTTAGCAGACGCGCACACAGGCACGAACAACCAAGAACTCAACGCGTCTATCGATATCACTGCCGTAGATTATTTGGCTGATATAAATGTCCACGTGATGACAAGCCACTTCCGTTGAGCTATCATTTGTGGCCAGGTCGCTTCTGAAAAAATAGCTAATTGCTCAGTGCGCCTTACCAGGTAAAATAGAAAATAGTTATGTTCTATTTGGGTTTTTTTTCAGCGATTTGTTAACCTTTGCTAAACTTTAGACTCTAATGTTTTTTTGTATTGTTTGTTGTTGTAACGTTCTGACCCACCCCGACTGGACATCTGTGAAAGAAAAAGAGCTTTAAAACTCATCGGAGGAGGGTCCGTGTAAAGCTCACCATCCAGTATAAATATACTGATTCTGACATATGGAAAATAGATTTCCTGTGTAAATACATAATAGGTGACGTTTTGGGCAATTCCCCTCTTTCAAGTAAGGGATCAAGACCTTCATCATCTTTGCCTAGGACTGTTTTTCTCGCTCAGGTATCGCCATGCTGACACATGATGGCGGATTATATCCAACCAAAGTCGGTCACAAATCGGGACATTGTGCAACGACAAAAAAAACAACACCCAGTACATTAAACACGGCACACGACAAGAGTGGTGGCCACCGCTGAAGATTAAATATTTAGAAGCTACAATAAATAAATATAATTCCACGCTGTATTGCATTACGTTGTATTGTACATGGTGTCTTGTGACCTCCATTTAAACAACAGGTTCTGCAAGTTCCTGGCATTCGCCAAAAAACATCCCAACGGTAAACCATAATTATAATTTTTGTTTCCCTACAAAGTAAGGTTTCATGTAAAAACAGAAATTACTATGCAAAGGGGAAAAACACGCTGAGGGGGTGAATTCACTGAAGAAGGAGTCGCAAGAGATCTGGACCATCCTGTATAATGGACACCTTCCATTGGGCCATTCAAGACTGTGCACAAATTGGAGCATGGTTGGGTGTGGCTTTAAGGCCCTGTGGCATTGTCAATTTAGTCAGCCCTTAAAGTCTTCCACACTGTGCCGGATAAATTGTCCCACTGTCCACGGTGACAATTTAGTCAGGAATTGTTTTTTTTTTATAACGATAAAATGAAATACACAGACTTAAGACTGGCCTAAAGTTTCACGGGTTGCCATCGACTAGACAAAAAAAACTAAACTCACCGAATTACCTTTACGATCCATTGGTTAATTTATCCTCTAGTTTTTTTGTTGTTTTTTTTATTTTACAGAACAAATAAAAGCCGCACACGAAGAGAACTGACCTCCCTCCTCCACGGCTCGTCGCCGGCCAAGACCGAAAAAGCCGAAGGCGCCGACGAGAATTAACACTGGGCCTGTTCAAGTTGCTGCCCCGTCCTCCACAAAAATTGTAAAACGCCTCCAGATTAGGCCTGGCATTGCGGTGATTTGAACGACACACCAAACGGTCCGTTTTACGCATCCACACAGAACCGCCAACCACTTCGCGGCTGTCCTCACGAGGCGAGCACGCTCACAAGCTCGACAAAACCACCATTACATTTTGCTTGGGGTTTCGTTTTTTTTATGGTGAGCAGCCAGCAATTTGCGTGGAAAGACAACAGGAAAATTACGTGGGTCAGAAGGTGCAAGTGATGAAAGTGGAAGGAACGAGATCAAGAGGAAGGCAGAAGGAGTGGTGGTGGTGGGGGGGGTGGACACGGTGGCCCGAGGAGCGGAAAGAGAGATGGCGCAGGACAGGGCAGCGTCTGGAGAAGGTTGGCACATGAGTGGGACAAACGCGTGGAAGAAGCAGCCAGCAAATGCGTGCCACGAGCTCGCGAGGGTTAGCGCGCTCCGCCACGGGGCAACGCGTAATGCCGCAGGGTTAAGATAAACGACGCGAATTAGTGGACCAAAGGTCGTCGTCTATCCGCTAACCCCCCCCCCACACACACAAATGCCACCACCTCCTCGGCTCTCCCCCTCGCGTGCCCACAGGAGGGAACGTTTTTCTTTTTTTGCACCCGGCGCATGTCGCGACACGTCGATCGTGACCGCCAAGGCACGGCAAGAGACATTTTTTTATTTTTAGGGACCGGCCATTTTGTTCCTCACGTTTTTGAGTGCGTGTGGCGGTTGTTGTTTTTTGTTTTGCCGCTACACTCGGCTTTATTTTTAATTCGTCGTCATCATCAATGAGCCGTGGTCGAACCACCGCTGGATTAAACAAAAAAGCCTTTCTTCCCTAGCTGTTGCCGTCAAGCACGATTGTTGAGATGTTCACCTGCGCGCACAGCTGATTTTATTGCTCCATTTCTCAATATCCCATCGAAGTGCTGTCAATACCAGGCTCACTCCCCTCGCTTAACTTCTGAGACACATTCATGGCGATTCGGCAATAGGTGCTCTCTTTGTCTCAGCCCCTGTAAACAGAATCAGAATGTGTATTTATACTGGAGGAATCCGATGAGCTATAAAGCTCTTTTTCACTGATGTCCAATAGAGGCGGGCAAAACGTTACAACAAACAGTACAAAACATTATAGTCGTGCAAAGGACAAGGTAGACAAATAAAAAAACACAGACTAATAAAACTAAATCACCCCCATCCTACCAGGCAAAGCCCACTGAGGTATTCACTTATTTTTCACAAATGATAGCTCAACAAAGTGGTCCATTATTTGGAACAAAGTGGCGATTAGGCCGAGACCAGCAACCAAGCTATCCTTGAGAACCCGGTTTAATCACGACAAGACCCCCCCCCCCTTCCCCTCTCGAGCCATCGGGCCCACTTCTGCATTGCAAGCGGCATCGTTCACATAACGTCAGGCATACGATCCGCACCAGCGGGCCAGGGGAACGCGTCGCATCTCCACCTCTGTAGGCCGCCCCAGAAACCTCCGCCCTCCGCACAGCCGAGTGGGCGGTAAGGGCTGGGCGGCGTTGGAGGAAAGGTGAGAGAGAGAGACATGGAGGCTGCAATGAACGGGGTGGGGCGAAGCGGCGCGTTCACACGGGAGGCAAAGAGCTCCCAGGTGAACGTGACGGCGATCGACGCGCTGAACGTGTCACGGCCGTTGTTGTTGTAGGGTTTACGCGGTGGTGCTGCGTGTATGCATGCGTTTGTACGTATGCTGAACTTCTTTCGCGCCGCACGTAGCCAACCGTGCTCATCGGCGGTACGGGATTGGAGTGTAGGGTTGATGTGGGCGAGTGGTCTGGCAGCGAAATTTGGAGGACAGGGATTCGATATACGATCACACGCGATACGGTGTCACGCACGGCTGCTGTTCACGCCACGATGACCGACGGTCTCGCTCCACGTGCCGTGTGAGCTTCTCAACTGGGGTTAGTTCTGAGCAAGCGGTCAATGCGTACGGCCCGAGCGTGATCCAGAGTTTCGCGTCAACTCGTGGTGTACGCAAGTCCTATTTCGAGCCTCCATAAGGAAAAGTTCCCCATTACTCTGCACCTCTAAGGTAAAAGGTACAGCCTTGCAACTATTTAATCACGCCAATGTTTGGAGAAGGACCTCCACTGGAGGGAGCTATGGAGAGCCCCACTAGGGGAGCCACGGTGGCTAGGAGATGTAAACTACCTCGTCTGGCATACAAGAGGTCGTGGGTTCAACCCCGACCCTGACGCCTGCTGTATATTTGGAGTTTGCGTGTCTCTCTCCCCGTGGTTGCATGGATTTTTCTTCGGGTCCTCCGATTTGCTTTCTCCACATTTAGAATCAACACGCGTTTAGAGAATTTTGCTACCATAAATTTCCACGTGATGAGTCACTTTGTTGAGCTATCATTTGTGGCCAAGTCGCTTCTGAAAAGGAGTTAAGTAGCAAAGTGGTTCTTACCTGGAGATTGAATATTGGCCAACCATTCCATACTAACCAGACGTCTTGGAAGCGGTGGGAAATATCCACGCTCTACCCCAACACACGTGACCTGCCGATCAACTAACAGGCATGCCCTTCTATGCTGGTTGCGGGGTGGCAGAGTGGGTAACACTCGTGCCTCACAGCAAGATGGGACTGGGGGTTCGACTCCCGATACGGGCACCTTCAGTGTGACGATTCTATGCCCTCCCCTCCTGTCCGGGATTCCTACAGGTTCTGCAGTTCCTGGCATTAGTAAAAAAAAATATCCCAATTACATTAAAAAACACACCTGAAAGTGACTCGATTGGGATTACACGTAGCAACATCGCCCCCCAACTACAAAAACTGTGCACGACCCTCCTGCAAAAGTGTCCCGGAGACCGAGTGAGGATTTCCTGGGTAAACAAATGTAGTAATAATAATGATATAAATCATACTTCTGGGCGAACAGAGGTGGTCGTAGTGGGGGGGGGGGGGGGGGCGTGGGATTTAAGAAACTTCACGCTCTGTCTCAACGGTAGAGCCGGGAGATTGCGTCCAGCGTGCCAAATCATTTCACCGCAGCGGCATTCCAAAAATTCAGGTAACGCGCCACATTCCCTCCGGCGACAGAGCCCCTTGTTATCTCACAGCGGCACACGTGGGCCAGTGGCGGCCGTGCAAACCGGAGCTGGCGGGTGCAGGAAACGACAACAAACTCAGCAAAAAAAAATTCTGAAACGGCTACCGTTACGGGTGCGCGCGCACGTGCACAGCGTACAGCGTAGTACGGCGTCGCCCGCAAACACCACAGGGCGAGGGGCAATCGGCTTCAAAGCCAAAACACGGCAGCCGTAAATAAAAGAAATGCACGTGAAAGCGAGCCTGATCGAACTTACTCGGTATAATTCAAAATAATGAGCAAGGGACCGAGTTTATGATCGTACGTGGGAGCTCGGAGAGCCATTTGATGGCGCCTCGGGTCGGAGGATGGATTTCGTTTGTACCTTCTGCAAATGTGTGTGTGGGGCAATGATTGGTGGCGTAAGTTGATGGATTTCACTTCACACAAAGACCCATAGACTCACCAGGGTGACCCCAAAGACTCACGCAGAGTGTGGGTGGGTAATTGGCAGAGTGGGTGGGTAATTGAATGAGTGGGTGAGTGATTTGGATGGTGGGTGGGTGATTTGGAGTGTGGGTGGGTGATTTGGTGGGTGGGTGATTTGGTGGGTGGGTGGGTGATTTGGAGTGTGGGTGGGTGATTTGGTGGGTGGGTGGGTGATTTGGAGCGTGGGTGAGTGATTTGGAAGATGAGTGATTTGGTGTGTGGGTGGGTGATTTGGAGTGTGGGTGGGTGATTTGGAGTGTGGGTGGGTGATTTGGAGTGTGGGTGATTGGGCAGATCGGGTGGTGAGTGGAGCACATACAAATTGCTGACTGTGACAGGTCACACAACGCGCGCGCGCACACACACACAGGACCACACTTACTGTCAGCTCAAGTAAGGCTTTCATAAGCCAGCGTCCGTCCTCTCGCTTGAATATATTCTACGCAAAAGAGAAAACAAACAAACACAAGAACCCAAATTAGTGTGCGCGCCCACTAACTTTGTTTTGTTCAACGTAAAGCAGCCAGGGTGATCGATGATTCAGCACTCACCAATTAAATCCCAGCACCCACTCACCAGTGGCCATTCACCTTCGTTTCACTCTTTGCTTGCGCCGACCATGCTTACTGCTCTCCCGTGAACTTAACTCACGATCCCCCTACCCATGTCCGGGGACTTTCGGCCTACCCAGACTGACCGTTTCATCCCGTCCGTACGGTCTTCAACCACCACACTGCAGGTCACAACAATCACGCACGTCTCACTCACTCACCCACCACACTACAACAACAGGTCATAAACACTTCTCTTTCTGCTTCTTCCCACGCACTGCACCATTTTGAAATTCCCTCCTCCCGTCGTCTCTCCTTTCCCCAAGCTCTTGCTGTTAAGCGAGCACCTATTAAGTAAGGGCAGCATGGCACCCAGGGTGTGGGTGACCAGCACCACGCCCGACCACCTTTGTCTCCCCAGTGGCGATGTTTATACATCGCACCCGGTACTCAGTTGAGGCCGAGTCAACCTTGGGGAGGTCCAAGACTGGTTCAGATAATCATCACTGGTGTTAGCTGTGAGCAGGAATCAAACTCGGGTTGCCAAGGTTCAGAGAACAGCGCACTAACCGCGACACTACTGCTCCCCACGCACACATGCAGCGATATATACAAACCTAAACACTCACATAACTGCATAGAAAAACATTTACATCGACAAATTTTGCTTGCAAACACTTATGAATACCGTGTATATACACCCACAAACACAAAGCACAGACATTGAGAGAAATATTACCACTGTCATCGCTATCAGCAGCAGCTGCAAAAGCACAATCAGTATTTCTACGTATATATATGTATGTTGAACTTCCTTTGCACCGTACGCAGGCAACCGTGCTAATCGGAGGTGAGGGATGATCACGACTAGAATCACCGGCAGCAGCAGCAGAATTGCAGGCATCACCAATCACCACCGGCGAGTTCATTTGCACGAGCCTTTCGCAAACACACAGCGTGCGCACAGAGGCACGGCGGCAAGCGAGCGCACGCGTGCGTAGCCGAGGCCGACGGACCAAACGAAAGCAAGAGCAGGCCACACGGGCGCGCGACCGCACAAACCCAACGGGCACGCGGCGGCGTTACTACAGACTCGCTCGCTCGTGCCGCCCCCGGGGGTTGCGTTTCGTCACGCTCGGAGGTTAACCTCACAAGGCTCTGGCCGCGAGGGTGGCCCGGAAAAAATACATTTCCACGCCCGGCACACCACCCCTCCAGTATAACTCTTGCCGCGGCCTTGGCCACAAGTCATGTGCCACCTGCTCCAGGTTACCAGCGCTCAGCAATGTACGAATCAAATCCATCACCGTCGAAGGTTCGTCCGTTTAAGCCGGGCAAATTAAGAACCCTGAACGTGGATCCGCGCCTCCGAGTCGCAACTGAAAATCTGCCTGTTGGTGAAACTGCTCGCGTTGCCAAACAGTCCTATTATTTTCGCGCCGCCCGCTCGCGCAAACGACCCCAACAACATCGTAAAACAGCGGGAGAGGGCATCGCCAGACCCATTCTACCCGTCGCAGGGATCGCGAATGCGAGCGGACAAACTAAATTCAGCGCGGCGGTGGTGACGCACGCCTCGGATCGGCGGGGCGGGGAGCGAGGGTCGGGATGGCGACGGGTGTAATGAATGGGTCAGCGTGGCCACGCGATGAATTATTCCCCAAAGGCCGCGTGTCGAAAGCGGCACGCGCTGCACGAGCCGAGCCACAAGCCGGGCCAGAAGACCATAACAGACGTGCGTGCATCGTTGGAGGCTTTCTCTCACGCAATGCCTAAGCAGCTGAATACGCAAAGCCACAGGAGACGATAGCGCAGATACATCAAAGTCAAAGATCCCGTGCATGGCCCCAAGCACTGTGTTGGGCAAAGTGCTCTCAGCGAGCATCTATTAATTGCACCTTCATTAGGTGCTCGCTAAGGGGCTGCGGGTGTGGCCAGCACCTTGCCCGGCCGCTTATGCATCGGCACCGGGCGAGGGGCTGTGGCCAGTTCCGATATCACCGGCCGTTGAAGTTCGCCCAAGCCGGGAATCCAACCCGTGTCACCGCGTCCGCAACGCAGCGCCTTTAACCACTAATCCACCGCTCGTCCCCCCCTCCAACACCACACGAATTCAGACGCATGTACGCACAAATGCCTGGCGTGTGTGCGTAGTTGGGGCGACGCGTGAGTCACGTGGAATCGACACGCCAGCCGATATGACCAAACGGACAGGCGGGAGGGAGCGAGGAGATTTCCGGTTGAACGGAACCAAAGGTTTCGCGGAATTTGGCGTTGGGGAGACGTCAACTTTGTATCGCTCAGTGTGGCACCGCGGGCAGGAAAAAAACAACTAAACAGGACAGCGGGCGGCCTTTTACTCGGAGGTTTTCCAATCCACTGCCGGATGACGGCCTGCCCATGCCGTGTGGGTCACGGGGGTCATCTGACCACGGCGCTGGTCGGCGTGCGTTGGGGAAGACGGCGGAGCACGCACGGACGTGGGAGCATAGACGTACAATACAACTTGGGGCTTTTGGTGCCCCCCCCCCACCCTACTGCTGACTACAAAGTAGTCCCCCCCGACCCTCTGTCTACTCGGCATGCAAGGGTTGCCGCTGCCCCCCCCCCGAGTAGTCCCCCCCGACCCTCTGTCTACTCAACATACAAGGGTTGCCGCTGCCCCCCCCCCCCCGACCCTCTGTCTACTCGGCATGCAAGGGTTGCCGCTGCCCCCCCCCCCCGAGTAGTCCCTCCCGACCCTCTGTCTACTCAACATACAAGGGTTGCCGCTGCCCCCCCCCCAGTAGTCCCCCCCGACCCTCTGTCTACTCGGCATACAAGGGTTGCCGCTGCCCCCCCCCCCGAGTAGTCCCTCCCGACCCTCTGTCTACTCGGCATCCAAGGGTTGCCGCTGCCCCCCCCCCTAGTAGTCCCTCCCGACCCTCTGTCTACTCAACATACAAGGGTTGCCGCTGCCCCCCCCCCCCCCGAGTAGTCCCTCCCGACCCTCTGTCTACTCAACATACAAGGGTTGCCGCTGCCCCCCCCCCGAGTAGTCCCTCCCGACCCTCTGTCTACTCGGCATACAAGGGTTGCCGCTGCCCCCCCCCCTAGTAGTCCCCCCCGACCCTCTGTCTACTCGGCATACAAGGGTTGCCGCTGCCCCCTCCCCTCCCCGCAGAATGTATTTGTTTCGTCTCGTATTTACCGGCCCGCTTTGCGTCGTCCCGTGTTTGCTCCGACTCGCTTGTACAGCCAAGTCCGGGAGAGTCGACGACAACAGGTTTAGTGGCATCAGGCTTGGGGAAGGCCTTCATTCAGCAGTGGACTGATCGTGGCGGTTCATGATGATGCATATATAATTGGCATGAATCGTAGAATGGATTCTCACGCGAATTAATCGGTGTGTGTGTACATCACAAGGGTTAAGAATCGAATTTCATTTGGAAGATATTTGCATCGTTACACCCCTTGCTGTATATACACACACACACACGTACTGTACTTACATTGCTGTTAAAATATTTATCAATCAAGTCCAGCCCCTTCGTTGGCAATGGACGCGCGTGTCGCGCCCACCGAATTCCTGCACGAATACAACAACCGAGATGAGAGTGGGAAAGGAAAAAGAAGAATGGTGAACTTTAATAAAAAAAAAAACTGCCTCCATGAAATTGGATATTCTTAACGGCCACACACAGTCACGCCGCCACGTAAATCGTCGACCAACTCAGCGTTGGGCCTCTGCCTGGGCCAGCATCGCCGTCGGTTTGAATCCAAGAAAGTTGTAATATATCTTCACTGCATCGTTTTCGAGTGGCGTAAGAAAACCAAAAATACACTCGTATGCCTAAAGGAGTTACGCAATTGCTTGCAATGCACCGTCGCACAGAATGGCGGGTCACACCTGTTTTGTCATTCACAAAAAATGTCGCCTCGATTCAACAACTCTTCGTCATTGTGATCGTGACTCAAGGTGGCGCACGGGACGATGACACCAGGGGATCAGTGCCGAGCCGCCATTGAGTTTGGATCTGGGTTTCGGATGCCGGTGATTAATTCCGGTTCTCAAGCATAGGATGTTAAATGGGTCTCAACCAGGCAACCAATTACATAACCAACGAAAACCCCATTGTTGAAAGTTTGATTTGTCAATTAAAAATTTTCCAGCTGAGAGTTTTCATTACGAAGAGATGTGCCCCCCGAGTGTGCGCACGAAGCAACTAAATAAAGTGATGTGAAAAGTGGTTCTACTCCGTCATCTTGCGGGGGCCGTTCCAACAACATCTGGTGCAATTCTTGCTGCTTAAGAGCTCCTGAATACCTTTTAGCCTCTTGCGGCACGAAGCCAATAGCACAATTGCGCCTTAATCGGTCGGAAATATTAACTAGACAGGAAAAAAAGGGTATCACGGTGCATCTATAACCCGGCAGATGATCGCTTGGGAATTTCATAAAAGCAACGGGGAAAGTTCGGGAGAATATTGAATGGCAGGGAACTCAATTTTAACATCCGCTGTCGGTGCACGGAAAAATAATTAGGAAATTGAGTTGGGTGTCGCTCACCAGTAGCAGCTACGGAGCAATCCGTGGCAGAGCAGTCGATAGAGATTACTGGATTGGGTTTCATCGCGGCGTAGAATTCCACACGGAGGACTCTGCGTCTCCTCTGTCTCTATACGAACCAATCATCAGCTCGTGGCGGAAGCGACGCTCGTGAAAAACAAAGTGGGTTTACGATAGCTCCACTGTCATATGCGCAGAACGCATCCATTATTTTACACCAAAACCAACGCAGTTTCCAAATGGCTAATCGGACGTGGCCCTTCTCTCCACTGGGCCCAACAGCGACTGGTTTCCACGCGATTCCAAAAGGTGGCGGCACTTCCAGGTGGCCTATTTATTG